TAACCCACTGAAAAATAAGCTCCATAAACAATCTACTGCTGTTACCAAAAGCAGCTAAATATATTAGATCCAAAGAGATTTGCATGCCTTTTCTCTAAACTTTTAATGAATGTCAAAATCACTAATATACAAAATCACTGAAGAAAGAAGATAAAAGAATATTTCTCCATACTGACAATTCAATTTTAATTTATGAGACAAGCAAACTCAACCACTATTTATAAGCTATTGGAGCTGTATTATAAAAGCTATCAGCTTATAATAATGTTGTTTGGATAATGTAAAGAACCAAAGCTCCTAATTAGTTCCAAGTACATGTATTATTGGAACAAAAGGTAGTATTTCAAAATAGTGAAAATAAATCCCATTTAAAAAATTTCCAACAAGTATTACTGGAAAGCACTTTATCTTTTTATTACAGACATTCTCATTTGTAAAAAGAAAGAATAGAATAATCAACTGCATATGCCCATCACCAGCTTCAACAATCATACTTGGAAAGAATTTTTAAAACTTCTACACATCCCAAATTTAGGTAACTTCATAAGATATGTACACTAGTATGATTTTACTGATATAATCCTACCAATAAAATAATCAACCCGGTGACCCATCATATTGGTGGACTTCGTTGGACAGTTGAATCGAAGATACTTGGCTACAGCCTTCTCTTCTTTAGATGGTTCACCAACTTCCTGCAACATAAGAATATTATTTTAGTGCAATCATTTACTTGAGAAATTCAATAATTTACAAATCTGTTCTATGAATTTTTTTGAGTGAAGTAGAGGCCCTGCTTTCAAACTTTCTCTGGAGCAGACCTGGTAATGTACAGAAAAGATAAAAACAGAGATTTAAAAAAACTACATGTTTTTCAAATACAAGTTAATAGAGGCAAAGCCTGTCTGCTTCTTGTCCTCAACTATCAAGCATTTGAGTTGTTTTTCCAGTATGGCAACTATTTTGTACCAGTTCACCTTCACTCTTGTATGGTCTCTTTTTATAAGCCACAAAACAATAATTAAAAAGATAACATGTTGCCAATAATGACTGCCCAAATGTCAAAGTAAATAGAAACAGGTGCCATAAATGTTAAAATAACAGCTAAAGATATATATCCTGGACAGTGAACCATAGAAGGAATTCTGAAATTAACCAATAATAGCTGCCCCAATATTAATACTACTGAGATGTTGACAATTTGTATTCCCTTCTCTTTCTCCTTGTGGTTGCAGATACCAGATAACTGTCTGGGACTCATTTCCCATCTTGTCTTCTCTTCCCCAGTAAGGGTGAGGCAAAAATAAAAAATACAAAAACAGAGATATTACTATCTCATTTGAAGAAATGAGTAATGGAAGTAAACTGACAAACAGAAGTTTTGGAAAGGCTGCTTTAATTCTTCCCGGTTTTCTTTCTTCATACCTTTTCCCAAATTTTCTATTAACTTTCTTCATTGTTTATCATTCCCCATCTTCCCATTATTCTCTTTCATTCTGAACTTCTTTAATTTGACAATTCTTCCTGTGTACTTATTCTCCCCACTTATGTACTGAAGAAAATGAAAGCAGTCTACATTTGTACACATCTTCTGTATAAACTTTTAAAAGTTGTCTTATTGTTGTAAGCTATTCAAACAGATGCACTGTATTTAATTACATGCGTAAGCACAATACACAGAACACTCAATATTTCCAGCAATATATAATCTAAATGTGAATGATTTCAGGAAGATCTGTTTCTTTAAAGAATAAAATGCCAAATACTAGTAAAGAATTATTTGCCAAGAATCTAGGATGCTGAGAAGAATTAATTAAGGCAGTTGTTTTAAGCAGGAAATTCTAATACACAACATAGAAAAAATAATTTACTTAAATTATCTGTGTTTGTATCAGGTTTTCTTAAATTTCAGGTAAGTCTGAATTCAGTTATGTTTAAACAAAATAAGGAACAATCTACAAACCAGGGTTTCAGCTTTAATTTTATTTTGAAAAGGAGTAATCTGTTACATGAAGTGAAAGCTTGTGCTTTGGTGGTTGAGTCACCTGGCAGCTACATCTCACATTTTTCCTTTGCATTTCTCAACTCTTCTACTTTCAGTAGCCCAATTAACAGCGTATGATTCTTACACTCTGCTACTACCAGCTGTGGGTTATTTGTGGCAATAAGAATTAAAAGCCCAAACCACTCAATCCAAAAGACGACTACTGTAAAAACCAAGTATTTATGAAATAAAAACCTTTATGTTTATAAATAAAAATATATATCACAAAAATAGAGTCTTAAGTAAGGTTCATAATGATTTAATGAGGCCTAGCTACAAAATATACTTTCTGACATGGTAAAAGGTGAAAATTCCTTATTAAAAATTTTGAAACCATGCTAAAATATATTAATATATGTTGGTATCGTATATGTTAGATGAAAGTATTTAATTATTTTTATATAATATACACTTCTAGCCTCATCTATTAGTAATATTCTATATAGTCATACACCTGAAAAAGCAATACCATAAATAGTTGAAAAAATACTATAAATGGTTTATAAAAATCAATTCTATTTTATAATCACATCCATATATGCTCAATTTTTTCATTTGACACAACTGTTGTCAATTTAAAGTTTATTTAATTAACTGATAACCTGTTATTGGGATGTGTTTGATTAAAAATTGTGGGGGAGAAATGTGAATAAACGTAAACTGTTCAATTGAATACATACTTACCCTATAATCTTTGGATGCTACGGTAAATACAAAGATTTGTAAGGCATGAAACCTACACTTTGCTACATAACTATGTAAAACAGCAACTGTTATTTCCCAAAAGGAGTGATAGAGAAAATATTTTAGAAGTTCACAAAGTACAAGTGAGATTATCAATGTGGATGGAACAGCTAGAAAAGACCTCTTGGAAAAAGGAACTGGATTTTGAAAGATGAACAAGTTTTGGGTAAACTGAATGAAGAGTATAAACATTGTGGCTGAGAATGACACAAAATTTGCCTCCAGTAGAGACAAGTTAGGAAGCACTGGGAGGTTAACTATGTGTAAGTATTAATAGAATAGACTATTATTCTATTAGACTATAGAGTCTTCAAAGTAGGTGGAGAAATTTCAACTTTACCTGTAACAGAAAAACTATTAGTAGTTTTTGAATAGAAGGATATAATCAGAAAAATGCTTTAGACATTATTTTGATGGCTGTATGTAGGATGAATTGAAAAAAAATGCATAAGGCAGGGAAACTGTTTAGAAGAGTATGGTAGTATTCAAGTAAATTGTGATGTGATAGTGGACTAGGAATGGGAAGAAAATTTAGATACTTGAAACATTTCAAATGTACAATAGACAGGACTCAATAAAGGATGAATGAAATAGACAGGTAAGATGTCAGATTTCTAACTTTATCAATGAAAAGGACAGTTTTTCAATAATAGAAAGGAAATTTGGGAGGAAGATGATTCTGGAGAACAATTGTATCAATTTTGAGCATGACACACACTCAAACACTCAATTATACAATTTACTGAACACAGACATAAATGTACTAATCTACTGACTGCTGATAGAGGCATCACATGTAAAATCTGATTAAATATTAGCATACATAAAAAACTGAGTTCATTCTATATTACGCAATAAGGAATGTGATACTATAACTATGCACAAAAATTTTAAATCTCATTTTAACAATTAACTTCAAGTTCAACAAACTTTTCTACAACTGCATTCCCTCCTTGGTAAAGGCACTAAAACCCAACAATGTACAGAAGACACCCAGAAAACATGGACTTGGAAAATCTTTCCCAACTAGACACAGAATTACTTGTCTACCGATACTTTCTTAAAGTATCAGTAACTTATAATAAGTTATCCATATTGTAGACTGCCTTTAATGAAAATGATATAATTTGTGCCATCTGCTGGGGCTTTGGAGCCAGAAGATTGCTGTAGAAGCGTACCATGAGAACATGAACCCTGGAAACTGGTTATACAGAAGATCCTACGTGGAGTCTTCACTACATTGCTCCCCTGCTGCAGCCTAGGAGGGCATAAAACAGTCTTACCTTCTTTTTGTTTATACATTGGACTACAGTACGGTCCCTCTTTGTTTCCTTTTGATGTACACTTACTTGTGTCAAGCATTTTCCCCCAATGCACAAATTACAATTCAAGGTCACTGAACCTATTCAACATAAAAATCTTTTCTAAGCATGAAACATCAAGTAATAAACGACAGAAAACTCAGTTGATACTGCAGACCTTTTTGTCTAAAAGTTCTACAATAGAATCTTTTCTGTCACTTAAACTCTGAACTTTTCATTCATTACATTTAATCTTTTTATCACAAGTGATGCCAGTATTAGAGTCTCTGATTCTCTGGAAGGATAAAACTGAGGAATTTTCTAGGATAGAGTATTTTTATAAATTTGTGAGAGTATTACTTATAAAAGTAGTACTCCAAGATCTCTCACATTCTACACAGCCATGTAGAAAACTTCAAGGATGGGAAAATAAATGTCATTTATTTTCATTTTGCATTATGCCAAGCTGATTTTTAACAATCAAGCCTCAAATAAATAACAGAAAGTAAATAGCTATGCTTTATATAACTCATAACCTAATGGTTTATTTATTGAATAGAGAGCTGTTAATCTTTCTTTAGCATATCAAAGAGTGCTTATCAAAAATCAAAATAACAATCCAACCCAAATGCTTCATACAGGGCAAAGGAGGGTAGGAATATAAGGGAGGGGCTATGTGTCAAGCACTTTTAACATCTTTTATAACTTTTAATAACTCATTGACCTACCTATTGTTTTCACAGCAATCCTATATCCCTGAAGTTCTTTCCTTTTCTTTTTTTGAGGTAAATATCCCTTCTTACAGATGCAGTAATTGAGGTAAAATGTAACTTGCTCAAAGCTACTCAGCTATTACTCAGCTAATAATTGGTAGACCTGAAGTACAAACAGGCACAGTCTGGCTCAAGTTTTAGCTCTCTGCCACTGTCAGGACAGTACCATACAGCCTCTTTACCTATCTTTCTGTTTAATATAAGATCACAACTGAAACAAAAGCAGCTATTCAAAAGGTGAATTATATCACCTTTACAACATTAAGGAGCAGTTGAAATAGTAAAACAACGCATATTAAAGGACATAAAATTGTACTGTCAAGTGTAAAGATAAGGACCTCAGTAAGTACAAACCTGACAGACAACTTTAATACAAATTCTAATAAAATACTGTATATCCATATCGGAACAGTAACATTAAATCTTAAAAGGTTAGAAACAGTATAATTAGGAACTTTTTCTACTGACCTTAAGCCCTGATTTGAGACATCTGAATGTGGAATTTGCCTTTTGCTAATTCATTCTCTATCCTGTTCAGGACTTTCTTATTTCTACCAAAGTCCAAAATTCCAAACTTAATGATCATGTTTACCTTTTTCATAGTACTTAAAAGTTTCCAGGAGAATTTTAACTTGCATAGCTTAAAACACCTGTAGTGTAGGCCCAGAAATTGGTAAACTTTAAAAAGATGGAGGGATAAAATAGAAGATAGAAAAAGTCATTCTAAGCAATGAAACAGTAAGGAACAGAAAGGCAATGATGAGTGTAACCATTTATGATTAGTATATTAACAATTTACTACATGTTATCCATTTATGATACCTTATGAAGGTTTCTCAGGACATGAGCGGGTGAGACAACAACTAATAAACATCCCGAGTCTAAGATGTTCTACATATTTAATACTCTTGACAAAGAACAAAAACAGGTGGAAAACTGCAAGGAAGAAATGCACAAATGACATGCATGTGGAAAGAGGGAGGGTTGTTATGTAGGTTATGAAGATGACACACTGGCATGTGAAAGGTTTCTGGGCGCCACCACCTCGTTGCAGCACCAACAGGGGTTGTGGCTGTTTACACAGTGCCGCCTGGAAGAAAGCCAGCAAGCTTCAAGTGGGCTATTAAATTAATAATATTGAGGAGAAAGGGGGGCAACGCAACTGAACATCTGGATAAGCAGATCGCCGCCTGGGTCCCCCGGGCAGCCGACCAAGTCCACATCATTACCCCTCTACGGTCTATGCGCACAAAGAACAGGCTGCTTTAGGTCCGTCCTCCGCCTCCTACCCCAATTACCGTGGCCTTAATTTAGGGATAACTAAGGCGAGATGATGGGGTGAAAGGAGAGGAGGAGCCCCGGGAAGGGTCAGTGTCTGCTCCCAGAAGGAGGCTGACCTCCCAGCCCAGGCCCGGGATGGCGCGGCCACAGGCACCCGGGGCCGGCAGCCGGACTCCGAGCCCGGCGCCTCCTTCCTTCCGCCAAAGCTCCGCCACCACCTCGGTGTCTGTCTCCGCCGTGGCCAACACCGCCCCCCCTCAGGCCCCTCACAACGACGCACCCGCGGCCAGCAGCCTCGCGGCGGCACCGCACCGCACCTCGCCCTAGCTTTCGCTCGCCCTTTCAGGGGGCCTTCCCCGCGTTTTCCACTTTCGAGCGCGCTGAAACCCCCCTACCCCAGGGCTCGGCTTTGCTACCTGGATCCGCTTCTTGTGTCGCCTGCGTTCCGCCATGTTGGCCGCTCCGCCCGGTTCCCTCTGACGTGGAGCGAGGGGTGGGGGGCGGTGGAAAACTCGCGAGAGCGCGCCTCGCGGCCCGTTATGTAACACGCCGGCTGGCGCCCGCGGAGGGGGGACCAGGTGCCCCGCGGCCCGGGGGCCTGCTGTCCTTGGCGGCGCCTTGACGTTCCTCTTTTCCCCGCTCCTGTTGTGGGAACTGTAGAATCGCTAGGAGCAGGAGGAAGTCAAGAACTGGACCAGAGGTTCTCAAACCTGACTGAGCATCTGAATCACCTGAGAAGCTACTAAAATGCAGATTCCCGGGCCCCACCCCGTGGAGTCAGGTTCAGCACGTTCGGGGTGCGGCCGTTTACTGAGGGCTCGCCTGAGACCTAGGGAATCCTGGAAGTCTTCACCTGTGGCGATTCCTGTAATATTCCCAGCAAGCCCTATCCCACCTCGTTTAAAGGTCATGAAATTCCATTTAAAAGATGAGAAAACCGAGACAATGGAGGGGCAGAGACACGAACTGACTTATCTAAGGCTCCGCAGGTGGTGGATGGCAGAGCCCAAGCCTAAGCCAGTCATCTTTTCCCAAACAAACTTTGGATCCTCCATTCCATTTTCCATATTGCTTTTCAAAACTTACCTTTAGAACCCAGAAGTCAGAGAGAACCCAGGAAAGTGTAAATAAGATGAATAGGAGAACGATTCTAAGAAGTTGGGAATGAAGAAGGATGCAGGCTACTTCAATTCTCGTAAATTACAATTGTTGTAACTATTGTTATTTTAGAGCCACCTAGACCAATGAGAAGTGGCTTAAATTGCTGGTAAGAGCTTAAATAGAAACTCCCATGACTTTATGGAGACTTTTACAGCATTTATAATTGTAGAAAGTTGGGAAAATACAGAAAAGTAAGATGAAGAAAATAAAAACTTCCAATTCTACCACTTAAAGATCTTTTAATCGTTCTAGTTTATTTTCTTCTAGTATTTATTCCTACTTTGTGTGTGTGCGCGCGCGCATGCGTGCATCTTGGTATTTATAAATTTTCCCATTCCCCAAATTGAGATCATATGCAATATGGTAACCTGCGCTTTTTACTGAAGGTTATGTTGTAAGCATTTATTACACCATTTAAAAATTCTTCAAGTTGCCTACATTATATACCTAATTTAATAGCAGTTAAATGTATAATTAAGGCATATTGCAGCATCTTGAGCCTAATCTTTTAATAAAGATAGCTAAAGTCATTTTTTGGACTAAGCAATTCTGGTCTCAGGTGAGCCATTTTGTTCCTTTCTCCTCTATGATCTATAATTTGGGTGTGTGTAGTAAGGGAAGGGGTGAGAAAGAAGTAATGATTCTTACCAATTAACCCAAAATATAATGCGGAATATGAAATGTCTTTATTTCCTTCAATCCATCTCCCCATACAGAATGATGAGTCCGTTTTGTGCTGTTTCATTTGGAGAACTCTGAACTGCTTCATAGGAGACCTGGTCTATAAATGAAAATATTATTGCATTTAATAGATTTTGAGTGCCTACTAGATGCCAAATGTTAGGCTAGGACTATGGTAGGGAATGAAAATCCCTTGTGGCGAATGTCTCCCCTTGAAGTTACTGCCCTACCACCTTCTTCAGAGGAGCTTTAATTTAATGTCCCCTTGTTCTCACTGTCATTCACACCTTAAACTACAACAATTTAGTTTCTACCTCCATGCTTCATTATTAATTCTTTTGTCAAATCCAGCAACTTCAGCTGTCATCTTACTCAGCATAAGACAATATTGGTCATTCACTTCTTGACTTTTTCTCCTTCTTTGGCATTATGATATCATCTTCTTCCCTCTGATTTCTCTTTGGCTTCTCTCCCTTTACCCAGCTCTCAAATGTTGGCCACCACGCTTCCATGCTCAGCTTCTTCCCTTCTCTTCGCTTTGTGTGTTCTGGGGAATTTCATTTATCCTCACGGCTTATTTCAAAATACTGCATAAATGTTTATTTCCAGCTTTCTTCTGGATGTCTCTACTGAATGTCCAACTAGAAATCACCATTTCTCCAGAGAAACCTGCCCCTTTTAATGTATTTTTAAATTCTAATAACCGCATCATTACTCACTCAGTTACTTATGCTAGAAACCCTGGAGGTATCCCAACCATGCCTTCCTGACAAACAGTCACCAATCCTATGGATTCTACAACTGAGATATTTGGAATTCTTCCCTTCCTCATCATTCTTACTGCCATTACCTTGCACAAGTCTTTATCATTACCTATGTGAACTATTGTTGCAACAGCCTCCTAATTGTTCTCCCTGACTCTACTCGCTTTTTACTCTAGACCATCTACTCCCTTGTTTAAAACCCTCCCATGACTCCCCATTGTGTATACCAACATGAATGATGCTAATGTTCACACATATAACCTAAGTGTCAAATTTCTGGGTCCCTCTTTTATTGAATATTTATGTAAAAATAGCTCAAACCTCTTCCTGGCACCCTATCTATATCTTCGATGGTGGTAGTTAGGAGTTTCTCCCGGCCACTTCTTGTTCTTATTTACCTTTGCAATCTCTACAGTGAGAAATCATACTAAAAAAAAAAAAGAAAAAAGAAAAAAAGGAAAAAAATGAATGTGCAATCTCACTCCTATCATTTGATCATTTGACTGTTATTTCTCTCCCTAATAAGGAGCATTTCCCCTCTTCCTTTCTTTTGCCAAAGCAAAACTATTAGTTACAGAAGATTTTACTGGAGGTTTTTGAGAAAAAGGAGAGTTATATTGATTGACTCATTAAACAAATGTTTATTGAGGGCTTACTATGTGCCAGTCCTTGTTGTAGGCACTTGGGATATACCAGTGATAAAGAAGCAAACATAACTGCTCTTGGGGAGCTTACATTTTGGGGAGAAGAGAACAGACAATAAAATACAGGAAGCAAAGTATAATACATGGTACAGTTGTCCCTGGGTACTAGCGGGGTATGGGTTCCGGGATACCCCTGGGATACCAAAATCTGCAGGTGATCAAGTCTCTTATATAAAATGGTATAGTATTTGCATAGGTAAAAGAAAATAAAAATATCACCCCTCCCCAACTCCTTATGCAAAAGAGAAAGTAAAGACCTTAGGCACCAGGGAAGGACTGGCCCCACATATCATTCATTAAGGAAATTTCTTGCTAGCCTCTCATAAACAAGGACATACAAATTGTAACTTTAGGTCTGCAAAATATGTCTAGCTCCTAAAACTAAAGTCTGTTCCAGTTCCACACTAATAATGAATTCCAACTTTAACTACACAGGTGCAGAACCAGAAACAAGATAAGATCAGACATTCTTCCACCTACCCAGGGACATCTACATAATTGATGCTTCCTTCACTCCTTTCTCCTCTGACATTTGCTTTGTTTTATGTAAAATATAGATTTTCCTGCGTCTTACAAAAATGTAAACATTTTGTCTCATTACCCTCACCCCTGCCTTTTTTCCTTTCTGTATGCCTTTAAATACTGAAAGTTCCAAATTCCCCTTCAGAAAAACAGCCACAGCTTCGTGGTTTGTGCTTTTCCTGGGCGTGTCCTCAACTTTGGCTTAAAAAAACCTCCATTGATGCGATCTTTGCCTCAGTCACTTATTTCGGGTAGACACATATAACCTATGCAAATCCTCCCATATACTCTAAATCATCTCTAGGTTACTTATAATACCTAATATAATGTAAATGTTATGTAAGTAGTTTTTGTGCTATCGTTTTTAAAATTTGTATTATTTTTTACTTAAAAAAATTTTTTTCCCAATATTTTTGATCAGTGGTGGATTGAATCTGCATTTGGGGATCCCTTGGACACAGAGAGGATATTAAGGATATTAAAAGCCTTAGGAGAGAAACAAAGCAAGGCAAAGGGACTGCTTCCAGTGGGAAGGAGGATGTAACTGCAACTTAAATGGTTAGGGCAGTCCTCTTTAAGCAGATGCTCTTTGACCAAAAATGGCATGAAGGAGGAGGGAGAGTAAGCCCAGTGGGTATTTAAGGGAACTGTTACTTGAGGTGGAGTGAATAGCATTTACAAAAGTCCAGAAGTAGGAGAGTACAGGATGTGTTTGAAGAATAGTCAGGAGGTGAAGCAGATTCAAAGAGGAAGGGTCAGAGGGGATAAAGTCAGAAGGAAAATGGGACTAGATTGCACAGGGCTTTGTAGGCCATTGTAACGGTTTGCCTTTCACTGAGTAAAATGGGGACTATCAGAGGGTGGGTAAAGCTGGATTGGGGCAGAGGAGTGACATAATAGTGCTTCTATTCTGAAAGGATTCTGATTGCTGTCTTGGGAATAGACTGTGGGAAGAGGTGCAGGGATGAAAGGAGGGAGCTTCAGTTAGTACATTATTGCAGCAAACAGGTGAGAGATGGTGTCGTAGACTCTGGGGGTTGTTGTAGAGGCATTGGAACATGCTTGGATTCCGGATATGTTTTGAAGGTAGAGTTAATGGGATTCTGAATATGAGGCAAAGAGAGGAATCAAGGATGACTCCAAGATTTTTGGCTTGACCAACCAGAAGAATGGAGTTGCAACTTACTAAAATTGGAAAGATAAGAGTGAACGAGATTTGGTATAGGAAAAATAGGAATTTGGTTTTTGGTATGTTAATATTGAGAAGCCTAATGGACATCCAAGTGGAAATGTGGAATGCACAGCTGGTATATGAGAAGTAGAGTTCAGGGGAGAGGTTCAGGCTGGAGAGTTGAAGGGGATTAGAATATGTCACCCCAAAATATGCCATTTTGGCATAAGGATTATTTTGAGCTGAAGGCAATTGAGAAAAAGAAGACATATGAAGGACGCTTTGATCTTCTTTTATCTGTCTAGAAGCAGGGCATGAATTCTGCTCAGGAAGGTGCCCCCCTCTTCTCCATACCAGGTAGAGGAAAACAACCCTTATCACCAGAGACAGAGGCAGCACCAAGATGAGTCTGCAGAAAGAAACCTTACTGTAACCTTTATCCATTAATTTCCTCCATATATTCACCTTCCCACAATTTACCACCTCTCCGAGCCTAAACCCCCT